CTCTGCTAACCACTGCACCACAGCGGTCGCCTATGTAAGTACATAGCTCGTTTAAATTTGGTTTGATTGACAAGATTTTTTTGCTCCAAATATGGGACATTTAAAAAAATTTTTTTTTTTTAATTTTTCTAGCAGAATTTAGAGATTCATTGCTTCACTTTTGTATTTTTATATTTTTTATTTGTCTTTCCTCTGGTGCGAGTTTCGTTTCGGTTCTGTTTTATTGGGTGAAATTTTGCCGCGACTATCATCCGACGGCATCGCTTCTTGCGACGAAATTCGCTCAGCGATTTGATTTGGTTCTCTTTATTCTTTAAAGTTTTACGGCCAGTTACACCGCTACACCGATTATGGAACAAAAATGGAACATTTAAAGAAATACAGAAAATTTTGTGTCCCCTATAAAACAAATAACTTACCGGGAAAACCGACAAAAACGAGGTCCGTCCCATACAATACGGGACGGCTGGTCACCGTACTGATAGTGATTTCCGTTTTTTTTTTTTTTTTTTTTAAATTTCACCTCAACATTCATATCACACTTCACACGTCACTTTCACGTACAAATGTATATTTTTTTTAATCATATTTTTCGTTATCATTTTATTCTTGAGTTTTTAATATTGATTTCCGATTTGTAATTTCATTTCAGTTTTAACTGTACTAGTGCAAGGAGCGTTCGGTCAATCGTTTTTACTCAGTTTGGGTCAAAATCAACGCAACTTCTTTGCGGAAGGCAATTCACGTGAAGCTTTTTTGACTGCACCATTGGGTGCTCAACTAAATTATACGGATCCGGTATCAAACGTACATCTGGAGTCACGTGACGAGTTTGATGAGAACAACACAACGATAATTGTTATTAAGAGCAGTAAGTAGATACATATTTATCTGCGCCAACATATGAGCCGTTCAGTGTACACATCGATTAACTCCATTTTCTGAAAAATTTTAAATTTAAGTGTTAAAGCACTTGGCATAACATACAATAATACGTAATATCTATAACAACATTATTTATTTGATTTTACAATATAAATGGAGTTTTAAAATAAACTTTTTGTTGTTTATGAATTAATCAATTTGTGCACTGAACGGCTCATATGTACATGCGTACATACATGTCTCGCGAAAAACTTCATAATAAAGTGATAAACACGTAAAATACTCGTAGATTGTTTACGCATAGATTGTCAGTTGTTTGTTGCATTTTCTCGCATTACACTCCCATCGCTTATGCGACTGATCGCGCAAGTTCGAGCAATCAATATTTTAACTTCGCCTGAGTAAATACAAGTTTTGATAAGTGTGCATTTCGTTTTATTAGTAAATTCTATAAATAAATGCGTGATCGATATATTTCCCCCTTTTTTTTAATCAGAATTTCGTGATTTCATTGATTAGTAAAGGAATAGAGAAACAATATAAAAATTGCAATGCTTTCGAAACTTTTGCGTTGAGTTTTACATACATACGTATCTATATTGAAATACTCTTAGAAGTCTTAAATATATTTTATGATGATGGTCCCAGATTTACCAACAATTTAAATGTTAAGCTGAGCTTCTAATTAAATATGTGACGTTTTGGTATTGTTGCAGCCACTGTAGCCAAAGGGTTGGAGCTGCGCCCTACCTTACGGCTAGATGCAGGTGCTAGGTCTGATCCGAGTGATATAAAAAAATTATATACGGTACTTATTGAAGAAAAAGTTTCTTGTTTTGGTCAAAGTAGGCATTATGCAGGAATAGTGTTCGATAAACTCCACTGCTTCCTCTTTTGTGGAGCCTCAAGAGAATTAGCTTATCATACCAACTACCAATCGTAAGAATAATCTTCTTCTTCTTCTTCTTATTTGGCGCTGTAACCGCCTAAGCGATTTTGGCCGAGTCCAAAACAGCACGCCAGTCATTTCTCTTCTGTGCTAACTGACGCCAATTGAAAATGCCAAGTGAAGCCAAGTCCTTCTCCACCTGGTCTTTCCAACGCAGAGGAGGCCTTCCTCTTCCTCTGTTCCCAGCATCGCGGCCCGCGTTGAATATTTTCAGAGCAGGAGCGTTTCTGTCCATCCGAACGACATGGCCAAGCCAGCGGAGCCGCTGAATTTTAATTCGCTGCACTATGTCTATATCGTTGTAAAGCTCATACAGCTCATCGTTAAATCGTCTGCGATATTCGCCATCACCAACGCGTAAAGGTCCGTAAATCTTTCGCAGAATCTTTCTCTCGAAAACTCCAAGAGCCGCCTCATCAGATGCTTTCATTGTCCATGCTTCCGCGCCATACACCAGCACAGGCATGATGAGTGACTTATAGAGTGTGATCTTTGTACGACGAGAGAGGACTTTACTTCTCAATTGCCTACTCAGCCCAAAGTAGCACTTGTTGGCAAGAGTGATTCTCCGTTGGATTTCAAGGCTGACATTATTATTGGTGTTAATGCTGGTTCCCAAATAAACGAAGTCGTCTACTTTTTCAAACTTGTAACTGTCAACAGTGACGTGGGTGCCAAGACGCGTATGCTCTGACTGTTTGTGTGATGACAGCCGATACTTTGTTTTGTCCTCGTTCACCACCAGACCCATTCGCTTTGGTTCTCTATCCAATCCCGAGAAGGCAGAACAGACGTAGCCCTTGTTTTTATCGATAATATCGATGTCGTCGGCATACGCCAGCAATTGTACGCTCTTATAAAGTATTGTGCCTGAGCGGTTCAGTTCTGCGGCTCTTATTATCTTCTCCAACATAAGATTAAAGAAATCACACGAAAGGGGGGTCCCCTTGTCTGAAACCTCGTTTGGTATCAAACGGCTCGGAGAGGTCCTTCCCTATTCTGACGGAGCTGGTGGTATTGCTCAACGTCATTTTACACAGCCGTATTAGTTTCGCGGGGATACCAAATTCAGACATCGCGGCATAAAGGCAACTTCTCTTCGTGCTGTCGAAAGCGGCTTTGAAATCGACAAATATACTACGTTTATACGCACAGAATAATCGACTTAATTGAAAGCGCATTGGCACCGTACACATTTCGTTCTAGTGTCTATACTTACGGCTTTATATCGGCATCAAAGTAACCGTCTTCAAAAGCAAACCAAATCAGCAGTTTTCATTTGACATTTTATAAGTTAACATAATGGGAAGTGATAAAAATCTAGTTTTATTCGGCATTATAAAATCGTGGAAAAGAAAAAGAACGATTATTATTAATCAGCTTTTAATTACTGATGCGATTATTTGGAATTTGAGCGGAACAGCTGATCTCCAATTCGCTTTGAGTGAGAGCGGTGTTTATACACTCTTTCTAACTGTCTGGAGAATTAAACTACCGATTTGAAATGGAGTGTGAGCCAAAACACTTCGCTCTTTCAAAGCGATTTGAAATTCAGTTTATACATATGTTTTGAATCGCGGCGAAATGAATTAAAGCGACTTATGCATGCGTATAAACGTAGTAATAGATGGTGTGTGTCGATCCTATTCTCGCGGGTCTTTTCCAAGATTTGGCGTATTGTGAATACCTGATCTATGGTGGATTTTCCAGGCCTAAAGCCACACTGATAAGGTCCAATCAGCTCGTTGACGGTGGGCTTCAGTCTTTCGCACAATACGCTCGATAAGACCTTGTAACCTATGCTTAGAAGGCTAATTCCGCGGTAGTTGGCGCGTATGGCGGGGTCGCCTTTCTTGTGGATTGGGCAGAGCACACTTAAATTCCAGTCGTCGGGCATGCGTTCATCTGACCATATTCTGCATACGAGCTGATGCATGCACCTCATCAGCTCCTCGCCGCCGTACTTGAATAGCTCGGCTGGCAGGCCGTCAGCTCCAGCAGCTTTGTTGTTTTTCAGCCGCGTAATCGCTATTCGTACCTCGTCATAGTCAGGCGGTGGGACAGCTACTCCATCATCATCGACTGGGGACTCGGGTTCGTCTTCCTCACTACTTTCAGCGCTGCTACCATTCAGTAGGTTATAAAAGTGTTCCCTCCATAATTTAAGTATATTCTGGACATCGGTCACTAGGTCGCCATTGTTTTCCTTACAGGAGTTCGCCCCGGTCTTGAAACCTTCCGTAAGTCGCCTAACCCTCTGGTAGAATTTTCGGGCGTTCTTCCTGTCGGCCAGCATCTCAAGCTCTTCGCACTCACGTATTTCGGCCTCTCTCTTCTT